ACTCTGCACGAAGTGGGCAACCTCTTGGCTGGTCACCATGCCAGGTATCCGGTCACAACTCTCCAAGATCGGAGTGTTGCGCCGGGCTAATTGTCAATCGGTGAAAAAGGCGAACTGGAAGCACTGGATGCTGCCAATGATGAACTGCAGGGCGTGCATGTCCATGGTGCTCCCCAGGATTCTTCTGCGGTCAGCCTCTGAAATAGAGGGGCAGACCTTGGTGGTATCGTCCATGAATCCCATAGCGCGCTCGCGCTCCAGAGCCGTAGGTTCATTCCAGAATCCGCTGGCTTGCTGGATCCATAGCGTTCATGAAGAACCTCCAGAACCCGCCCCTATCTCCTTGCTCCAGATTGAAAGTTGGAGAAGATTCGATCGCAGCCCAATCCACTTGTCGCCGTTGATATGCCCATCGACGGTGTGCGCAGCTCTCAGCCAAATTGCCGAGTGTCAATCGCAGCTTCAGGTAGCGAAAACGGTACAAAAAGTGTGCGTGATCGAACCGCCGCACGAACTTATATTTAGTACAAGCCACGCGGCACGCGCTGAAGTAGGCCACTTGTGCTGCGTGCGTCAGAAAATTTGTCAGTACCGTACGGTCATCCAACTTTTGCGGGCAGACCTCTACGGTACTTGCGATATCAGCTGGCCGTTGTCCACGACAGATTTTAACTTTACCATAGGACTGTCGAGGACGCCGGCGATTCAAACCCCAGGCCTGCGCTCGTGCACTGTAGCACTGCGTAGTGCAGTCTTGTGTGCAGTGCGATCCAGCAGGCCGGTCTAAGAAGCACGGTAGGCTCTGAGCCGGGAGTCTTTGAAGACTTACACATAGAGTGCAGCAGTAGCCGGTAGTATAGCCGATCGATTTGTTACTTCCCGGTGAGTCAAATTCAGCACCCAGCCGCCTCTCGACACCATGTTTGAGACTGGGGCAGGTGGCGGTGTTTGATTCGATCCTATTCTGCGATCGTATCTTGGTAGGAAAGTCCCGACCACTTCTCCATCAAGCAACCGGGCACTTTTAGGGGCGGGTCCTGGAGGTTCTTCATGAACGCTATGGATCATGCTCTGCTCAGCCAGGGTGATAGGCGTGCGAGCTGCGCACCGTGACAAAAGTGGACAGAGCGCGAAGCGGCTGGCCGCGCACGTTGACCGAGACCTTTCCGAGGTGCGTGGGCGTGCTGAGCGTTCTGAGCCCGGTGGCCGTGTTGCAGAATGTTCTGGACAATCTGGTCCGGCTTGCGGTGCTTGAACTTCTTCTCAACCATTTCGAGCATGAGGTTGCCCGGGGCTAGGTTGGTCCACCAGTGGCGTTGGCGATGAGCATAAGAGCCAACGGCCACCGCATCAAATGAGAAGCCGTCCCCGAGCACTCCCTTCACCACAGTGTTAAACTCTGCTCGTACGTCTGCCTGCGGATGATTGCTAGCATCAACGTTTTCAAACAGATAGCCCACAGAGCCGCCCCAAATGTTGTTGATGAGGTGTACGATTCGGATGGCATCGTCAAAGAGCCTGGTTCGCGAATCGCGCAAGCCTAGGGCGTTATGCGCAGCGCGTGAAAATCCCTGACACGGGATTCCGGCCACCACAAGGTCAAAACGTTCCAGCTGGGCCATGTGGCCTCTGTTGATCTTGCTGACGTCGTCTCTCAAGTGGTCATGACAGTCTCTAATAGCGTCTGTGCTCAGGAGCTGTGGAAATAACGTGTGCAGGACGGCCAGACGCTTGGCAGCAATTTTGCGGGTCTTGGCGTCAATCTCGCAGGCATACACCTTTCTGACGGTAACTCCCTGCCGGAGAAACGCCTCAGTTGTGGCCATAAGGCCAGAGAACAACTCAACGACCACCATGCCTGGGCCAGGTGTGGCCAGCAAGTCCTTTTTGTCAACGACCGACGTGTTCAACGGCTTCAAGTGCCGGTAAGCTAGGTCGCTAATAACGGGCGGCTTGCGTTTTGGGGTAGCTAGGGCCCGAGTGCTGCGGTCGAAGATCTCAGTGAGCTCGGGTAGCAGCTTGTCTGATGGTCAGCACACGAAGCAGTAATGGGGAATGAGAAATTACAACATTGGGCCTCATTTTCGGGCTCCTCATTTCATCTTTCTCTTGATGAATCGTGAGGCATTCATCGTGGAAAAATCTCACGTTTTCATCAAATGCTTCATTCTTTTCACTGAATATTATGAAGAGAGTGCGAATGAGGAGAAAGACCTCAATACTTAGTTATTCTCAAGGACTTGAAAACAATCTTCCTCATTTTGGTTTCATCCTCGCTTTCATCATTTGAACCTCTATCTTTGCTAGATAACGTCTCTCATCATTCGCATCTTCATCATTGAGAAAAATGAAGAGACTGAAGGGG